TAAACAGGGGCCCTATTGCAGGAAATTGTGCTTGGTTGGAAATTGTCCATTTTCTACCATAAGTGTTTATGCTTTTGACTTTTAATAGGAGCTTCTATCAAATTCTTTTTCGTTGCTTGCTGACTGATTTTTTTCTGCTGCTGGCTGGATCATGCTTTCATTAATTGCTGCTAATGGATTCTGGGTCAACATAAGGCTACCCTGTTGTAGACATATGTAGAATGCCAGTGAAAGTTTGTAACTATTGGCATTAGAGTAATTGTTTGTTGGTTGTTTGTAGTTGTTCAAGTTTGACCTGGGCCCATCTTGTTTGATGTTTACATTGTTGAAGTTTTAGACCTAAGTATTTCAAACTGCTCTCTTAAAATGTTGCTTTTAATATCCAATTTTCTATTGATTATAAGTACTCATAGGTGCCATATCTGGTCATTTTATTCCACTTATCCTGGTCTTCTTGATTGTTTTAGGAAATACACGGAATTTGAAAAAGCGATTGCACTTCCTCTATCTATCTTTCGGTATCTAAATAGGGTCTGAAATATTCTGATTTAATATTTTGAACTAATGTAACTGGAGAAGCTGATATAAGATTTTTGATAAGTAAAGAAGTAAATATGACTGGGTCTGCCTGGAAACAATAACAGGTAGCAAAAGATGAACTTTCTCGAGAATGCAATTACGAACTGGAGGCAGAAAACCAGAAAAGATTTCGTCATCTGCTTTCGGATGCACAAGGGTTTTATGTTCCCCTGGTCGTGGATGATTTGTCAAGCAGAAGAGTTCTTACTACTGAACTTGTTAGTGTAATTAAGGCACATATTTTCTCTCATATGTTGTATAAGTATGTGATGAGTTTTCAAGCTTTCAAACGAATCTAGAATTTTGTCTCTTTTGGCTTTAGATTCATTGCAATCAAATCTGTTTCCCTGTTGTATAATATCTTGATATAGTCCATTGTAAAATTCTTTACCTACATAAGTACGATGAATTCCCTAAAAAAAATGATTGATGATATTGATCATGAAAATTTTTTGTTCCAGGAATTCCAATCGACAAGGTGGCATTATAGACCAAGAGACTCGAAATTATGTTGGAAAGAAGTTGCTTGAACTTACTTTGACGGAGTTATTTTTCTTTCGATTCATGCAGGCATGTCTTGTGTGCAGTTATTATGTTGTCCTTATAACGAGATTCTTTATATTTTGAGAACATGAAGAGGTTCTTAGCTTCGTTGCACAAGTAGCTGCTTAGAGTTTTAAGCCTGCAAAACAAGTTGATGTATTCAAATTATATTTGGAAATTTACCTACTTAATGATCAAATACCAGTACTGAAAAGTCGTTGAAAGGGAAATATACTGTGTAAGTTGCTATTTGGGACAGTTACTAGGAAATAATTTTTGCAATGAGTAGGAAATCATGGATTTCTTAAGTGGGAAAGTTTGAGAACTTTTAATATGACATATGTATAACCCGAAATTTTCTTACTGGGATGATGGTCAAATTTGCTAGTGCCCAATTGTCTGGACAATAGGTTAAAAAAGAATCTGTTCAGCTTCTACAAAACAGGAAACTGGCTACAGTTTCACGTATCACCAAAACTTTGAGCTGGTCTAGTGGAATCAAATTAGTTGTGTATTATACTATTGCTATAGGCACACTTCATGTGTGTTCAAATATAGAAAATTGCTTTGAGAAAAAGAAAGAAGGAGAAGATAAAATGTAAAAGGAAGAGGGGAAGTTTTTGAAGTTAGGAATTTGGGGTTTATTTGTTTAGTTTTGCCGTTGTAGTGGTGTTAGAATACTGCAGTAGTTTTGGTGAATCATTAGATGTACACTTTTGGATGGAGTAGTGTGAAACATTGGCAGTTGGTTAGGATACAATTAGGTAGAATGAAAGTTCCGACGTTGGTAAAAGTGTAGATGGGGAAGTTACAGATAAACATGTTTTTTTTTAATTTATTTAATTAGTTGGTCCATTTACCCTTTGTAGTAAGGTGAACAGGTAAAAGATGACAAAAAACGTAACACTGACAATTCCTTTCACACTTTATATATAGTAAGATATTGTTTAATTAGGTAGAAGTGTAGATGCTTTAAATACTTTATGTTAGATGACTTAGAAAGGGGTTAAAGCTTGAGCACTTGCATTGAGATTCAACTGTTATTACAACAGCATTGTGTCTTCATGGGAAATATGACCAAAGTTGCTCCCAATTATGTTCTTAACTAACAAAACCTTGTGTTGCTCAGATTGATGTCTTAACTAACAAAAGATTGCCTTCTAACTTGCACCAGTGAACAAAAATTGCCTAATTAATATAGTCCCATTGTCTTCTTAGGAAAACTGGGATGGAGAATTACACTTTGAAAAGCTTATAGAACAAGAATAGTGAGAAGCCTTTTCATTTTTTAGAATTTTCTTGAATGGTTTGGGACATGAAGTTATGAGATGCCTCGCACCTGCAAATTCTGAATATGGATATGATGTAAATGGTTGTGAATTGGGGTGGGTATACTCATGTATTGGTCTTAAGACATCATATTTTGATGGACATTCTTTGGTTGGTTATAGCATATGGTTCTAGGATTTGGTCGCAGAAAAATTAAGATATCCAAGTACGATATTCTTTAAGTGAAGTTTATACCCGCTGATAAGCATAAAGCATTTTAATGCATTTCTTATGATTTGGGAAAAGAATAATGATTCTTGTTTGGGGTGACTTCTATAAATTCCTTTTTCAGCATTCTTTTGATATTCTTGTATTAATATTAAATAAAGTTGACCCGTCTCTTCAGTTCCTTATGAGCACTTCTAGCTTTTCTGCTAAGTTAGTCACATAGTCAAAGATTTTTCTTGGTTTTCACCGAAACCCATACTTAATTATGAGCTTAGAATTGCTTTCACTTCCTCATAGGACTTCTGAGTTCATGATGAGTCATCCCTTACCTGAAATTTTCTCCTAAGGTTTCAACTTTTGGTGCTACATGGAATCTGACTTCAAGGGACTATAATTGTGGAACTTGGTCTTGTGGGGTAAGTTGCCTCTAGTATGCTGGTTAGCCCTCTAAAACTGGTTTTTGGCATGTTAAGACTAGCATACTGCGATTACATCCTGATACACTCTTCCCCTAACTTTGCTCCCCTTGTCCATGTCAAGAGGTTTGTTATCATTCATACTAGCTCTCCCCATTATAAGAGTTTGTATTGAATAGCAAACTTCTAGCTCAATTACTTAGTAAAAAAAAAAAAAAACCACTCAACCCCCCAGAAGAAGAGAGAAAATAGAAGAAAAAAGAAACACCAATTACCTCTTACACGCTTGTGATTGTCTGTCAGTTTTTCTCTTGACATTGTATTTTGGTTCTGTTTAATGCAGACTGATCCCAACTGGAGCAATTTTTTATACGATGAATCTGCAAAATGCATCAATCTTATTGATTTCGGAGCAGCTCGGGACTACCCTAAAAGTTTTGTCGATGACTATTTGAGGATGGTAATTGGTTTTGCTTTTGCAGTATCCCCAAGCTTATGCTTAAGCTGTGTCTCCATTGGTTTTTGATCATGTTAGCCTTTATCTTGTGAGCATTCATAGAACATGACATGATTTATATTTCTCAAATTTGCGGAATTCTTTTCCACACTCCGAGTAACCTATTTGGGATTATGATATTTGCTAATGCATTGTTATTCCTGGAGAAAATTAATCCGCTTGTCTGTCCTTGTCCTTGTTTGGCTGAATCCTTCTTGTAGAATTTATAATTCTACTATTCTATGCGATCAAATCTTGATCTTTTCTCTGGTGTTATACCTCGTTCTTTCGCTTCTTGTGATCATATTCATGATTCAATCATATTTATTTGACATGCATGTGTCTGAATCAGGTTTGCCTGTGCCAACAGTGACCGAGAAGCCGTTTGAGATGTCCCATAGACTTGGATTTCTCACAGGGAAAGAATCCGACATAATGCTGGAAGCTCATGTTCAGGCTGGCTTCATAGTAGGACTGCCTTTTGCTAAGCCTGGGGGTTATGACTTCCGCTCTGCCAATATTACTAAAGTATTTCAAATCTTGGAGCTACAATGTTGAGACACAGACTGACACCACCTCCTCAGGAGGCTTACAGTCTTCACGGAAGCTTTGGTGCTTTTCTTGCGTGCATTTCGGGGCTGTTGTGCGGGCAAACTACTCGAAGTGTATGAAAACTATCACTTTGGGAATCATAGTGATGAAACATTTGCAATTGGTTCAGTGCCAAGGTAGGAAGGTGGTAACTTGATACCATTTGATTCATTTATATTGATGTTTAGTTCCAATAGATTCTGTTGAAATGTCAAATTCCGAAGGAATACAGTAATCAAATATTGATGTTTTACTTTCTAACTATTTGCATTCATGGTGGATCTTGCATAGGATATTCACTGTCGTATATAGCAAATATGTTGTCTTTTTGCTTTTAGATTTGTTTTACTGGCTTTTTTTAGGTGGTGTTTGGTAAATGGGACACAAGAATGGGTGTCAAGTTCAATTATAATACGCGGAATGCGTTTGGATGTTAGATTATTTGGAATAATTTTTGGAAAAAAAATACTGTAACAAAAAATACGGAACCAGTCAACTGGATGAACCGATCATAAGACTTGAATGAGTCACTAATTAGATCGATTAAAGCAACAAATTCGTTGATCAGCCAATGATTTGACGGTTTAATCGGTAAATTGGGAAAGGACCGCTGCTTGAACAGTTAATTTAAAAATTTATTATTTCTATAATTTAAAATAGAGTATTATATTATATAATAATATTATTATACAACTCGTCATTGAACCATTCAACTTGTAGTTGAACCGGTGGTGATTCGGTGAACTGATCAGCTTTTGAGGTTGAACCATTCAACTTGTAGTTGAACCATATGTGTTGGGAGCTGCACAAAAAAAAATGATGAATGTTCTTGCAGTTTCCCCGACGACAGAAATGAATAGGAGGAGAAGGGAAAAGAGAGAGGTGTCGTCGTTTTGGTGACTCTTGCAGTTTTCTACGTATTTCGCCCTTATTATTATATTATATCCTGATTTGGGTAAGCCGAAAAGTCGACGCCCAAAAAGCATTAGCCCAAAAGACGACAAATTGCAAAATGCACTTTGGATCTGCAAACACCCCAGCGAGCCGCGACAGAAGAATCAGAAGAAAAGCCGCGACGCGACCAATTGATTCGATTCTTATTAGCGACCAAAATGCCCGCCAAACTTAAGCCACCCCTCTCTCCGGACACCGTCTGCGTAATCGGCTTTTTCTAGGAATTAGGATGAAGGATGGAATAGATCGATCGAACAAATACGGTAGAGTAGGAGTACCAGAGGAATAGTTGATGATGATGGACTGTGCAAGTAACGATATACAGGAGGAGCAGGAGGAGCGTCTGAAGGTGAGGGAGTTGGTGAGGAGAGAAGTAGAAGACTGGGACGACCCAGTGAAGGCGGTGGCGCGGTTCAAGGGGTTCAGCGGCCAAAGGTCCGACTGGGAAGGCCGCTATCTCTTCTGGAGGGACCTTATCATCAAAGTGGCTCGACATCTGGGGACCTTCATCATACGTCCTTCCCGCCTCAACAACATTTGGTTCCGTCGGGAAGGAGCCTTGTCCCCCTTGTGCCTCCACCAAGTCCTTGTAAGTTAAGAGAAAACCCCACTTTTATCGTCTTCTTTCATAATACTCTATCTAGTTTAATACTGCTACTCCTGCAGCGTGTTACGATTACGAACATATTAGTTAGTTACTAGTACTAGTAGTATTTACTGCAATTGTCTTTCAGTTTGAGATGCATAATGCTGGTGAGTTGTTGCGGGATTCTGATCTTACGGACCCAACAAGGACATCGACGAGTCCAAGCGCCAGGCTTTCCCTCATCTTAAGGAAAGCAATACATACCCTGGGCTTCTCTACACCCGCCCAGCCATCTGATTTCTCTGAAGATTGTTACTGCATACTTTCAACCCTGTTGAAGGTAGACCTGAATAGTTTTGATTGTGAAGTATTGGAATTATTACTACTACTTTTCATACGTACGCACCCAAGTTCCAGTCAAAAGATAAAAGTTCTCCCTGACACGTTTAGGAAAGAGCTCTTCAAGTTGTCCAACTTCTTTCTGAAAACCACTGGACATCTTCTTGTGTCATCACGCTGACCAAGTTCCAGGAAACTTGTGGAGGACCGAAGGAAGCATCTGCTGTCTTGAGTTACTTGTCAGGCTGTGGGAAAGCTAAATACCTTGTGGTCAGGAAGAAGGATGTTATGGAGGTAGTTCAATTATGATATATTCTGTATGTCTTCATTGATTTTTAACATTATTGCATCCTGAAGCATTCCGAGGCAAAATTATGAGGATTTAGAAGCCAAATTTAAACGGCCACTAGTTCCTTGACTGAAAGTCTCTCTTTCTTCAGGAGAAGTTTCTGAGGTCACTAGTCTGGATTATCATGTTTTGCACTTAATGTGGACAGTTGACAAGCTTGAGCAACAGCTTGAAGTGATTGACCAACGCTGTCGAAAGTAAGAATCAACTTTTGATTATTTGTTTTAATTGCACAACTTTCACGTCTTTACTCTAGTCAGTCAAACACTAAATGTTCCATCTGGTGCTCCGGAGATGTAACAGACTCTATAATGGTCATAAAATGTAGGAGAACTCTGACTTCATCAGGTCCCTTTAGTTTCTCTGAAAACAAAGTGTATTTTAATAACTGCTTCATCAGGTCTGAATCAAGGATAACTCAAGGGAATTGGATAGTTATGAACACAAATATCCTGTGAGCTTCATGTGCACGTTAATCCTCAACATTTTGAAAAGATAAAAGTATTTATGCATCATTTTCCAATCAATAACCTAATTCTTCTCTTTCCCACTGCAACTGTATTTGAGATACAAGAACTGGGACATCAGTTGTTAGGAATCATGGCTGCTTGTTTCTATTTGAAGCTAGAAGTTTATGTTTATGTAAAGTTCACATTGTTCTTCCTGTTAGTATTTAGTCAATTTGTATCTATTCTTGATATTTGGTCCACAATTGAGAATGCAAGACACTACATGTGTTTAACTTATAAGTTTGATGGACCACATTGTTCCAAAATCGGGAGTTCAAGACTTTAGAAGGCAATTCGCCCTGTAGATTCAGTCTCTTTGCAAAATAAATTAATAAATATTTTAAATAATGGAAAATACTATTAATTAATTAGTTATGATTTAACCAATTTAATGCATGCTAAAGCTAAATATGGTTTATATCTTTAACATGTTTGCAACTTTTTCTGTATGCACCTCCAGCAGTTTCTCGCTATCTAGATCGACAGAATCTTTTGTTTTATACCTTAAATTCCTACATATTTTGTATGTAGTACACAGACATATTACAAAGTTTTCAGGTTTGGGTTCTCCGTAATCATTAAGGTCATAAAGAACTTCTTTAAAAGATGTTCATATGGATATTTAAAATGTTAAATTGGAGACAAAGAATGAGCTTAGTTCTAGGATGTCTCTGAGCATCAACTGTATGTTATGCTTATGGGCAGAATTTGTAATGTTACAAAGACATTAACATCCAAACAAGAAATGTTAAGTTGGGGTGTGGGTTTGAGTACTATGCTTGCGAAGTACTTGCGTGCAACGTTAACCTTTTCTCCCGTTTCAAATTGTTACTAAGTTTTCTCGCTTTCAATCTTTTCTGCATAAGAGCAGCTTTATTTGCAATGCAGGTCTAAAAGTTCAGCCGTGGGTTGTCTAAAATCTGGGAATAGGAGAATTGCCCTGAGGCATGCAAGGGAACTGAAGTTGGCATTTCAAAGTAGAGAAAAATGTACACTACTTCTGAACCGTGTGGAGGAAGTCCTTAGAGTAATTGCAGATGCTGAGTCCTCCAGAAAGGTAGCTTGTATAACTCTTTAAAGGCTTCCTAGAACATATGTTGAGCTACAGTGTAACCTTTCTGAGCAGTGTCACAGTTGACAAAATTCAAGTCATCTTGGCAAGGCAAAATGTCATCCAATATGACTAGAGGGGAACTCAGTGGATGTACAGCGCATCTGCTTGGCTTCTAGTCTTTGGATCATCTATATTTGCTCCTTCACGTAGAATAGTTTGAATTTGGCTTAACTCATTAACCTTTTGGTGGAAGGTGTCTGAAGCAATGAAAGTTGGTGCAGAAGCAATGAGAGAAAATAAGATTAGCATTGAAGAAGTTGACTTATGTCTAGAGGATCTGGATACAAGCATTAGTTCAATAAATCAAGTGGATGAACTTCTAGGTAATTTTTTCGTCTTTGCTTTGAGTTTCAATCAGATAATTTGATTACTAAATCTAATGACTCAATAAATTGATATTAAGGGGAAATGGTGATAAATCATACTATAGGATGATTGCTCTGACCAAAAATTGATAGCATAACAAATGGTTCGAGTTATTACTACGTTACTTGTTTGGTTTGATACTACTTTCAAACCACTCTAAGCCCAGGCTAGGATTGTGATACAACTTATGGTGCATCTTCAGCTGCCAATGGTTCTGAGAATTTCCTGTTGATCTGATGACGCTTAAGTTGGCGGTTATATTATTTAATAAAGTTGATGCCTAACAAACACCGTTCAGTTATGGGTATTCATAGATCGAGCAAAGTTTCAGCCTATAATCATGGATAGCCAATAACCAGGAAGGATAACTATCAAGAAGTACAAACAGAAAGTCGGAAATAATGAAATTAGTACTTTATCATGCTCTGCAGGTGTAATCTTCCCCGGTACATGGTTTTGTGGAATTGGATTGATTATCTCATTGACCTCGTTTTATCTGGACTTTTCAGTATCAGCGCCACTTAGTGCAGTTCTTGAGGATGAAGACATTGACGATGAGTTAAAGATTCTAGAGCTAGAAATTGGAGAAGACTCGAATCGTGCATCCATCAGCAAAAATGGTGTTGATAGTATGGCGGGTGTTGCTGAGGAATCGGAGACTGTTGATTCACTGTCTGATGCTCTATCAAATCTGAACTTTAAGGGTAGCGCAGCTACTAAAGCAGTCAGAAAACGTCTTTCCCCGTCAAGTACTGAAGTCTTGAGTGTGTAGCTTTCTTGAATCCTGTAAGCAAACATCAAGCAGTTCTTTGACCTGGAGTCCCCAGCCTTTGATTGAACCTATTGCAATTCATGTTTGGTACCGTAGAGATGAGTTAATACCAAGATGTGATGCAAGGTTGCAATCTGTTGGATAATGGCGACTTTGCGCATCGTGATGTTATAAATCTTTTGGGATTTCAAACCGGTGGGGGAGCTGGTCGACCTTGATTATAGTCCGTCCGATCTTGGGCATTCGCTGTACAGAAATTGCGTCACGGTATCGAGAAAGGGTTGATCAATTCAGGATGAGACACGCAAGCAAATCCGTGTTGCTGCCTTGACTGTTTTCGCTTATAACTTCCATGAGATTTAATTACTGAAACAAGATCAGGGTGAAAATTGAAAATGGAGAAAGTATGGTGATAGATATCGGATATTCCATTTTCCTCTCTTCCAGCAAACCGATACTTGCGCTCTTTACTTGCTTCGTTTTGGTGCCTCTGCTTCTGCTCTCGCCTTCGGCTGGTGCAACGATGATGGCAATAGCGGCCTCGCTCCTCCCCTCTCACCCACACAATCGCAAACGTCTCTCTGGCTGCAATTCCTCATAAATGCACCCAAAGTCGCAGTAGTAGGGAGCAGAGGATCTTTCAAACAAAAATTGGAGAGAGTGAGAAAGTAGAGATTTGAAGTAGTTCCTAATTTGGGTGAATTTAAAATCTATCAATTTTAGAATTACTCCTCCGTGTGCTGGATCTCAAATTCAAATCTGAGCGAGTTTATGCAAACAACGAAGGATTTGAGTTGAAGGATTTCAAATCCAAACACACTCGAATTCTCTCACTAACCCTAAGTATCTTTAATCATTTCTGTTAAAATATATAAATAACCGTTGAGAAGAATTTGTAAGATAATTTTCTTTTTCTTTCGGTCAAAATTTCAAATCCATCTCAATAGAGAGAGAGAGAGCTACTGCATTCAGAACCTGTTCATACCAAAAAATACATCTGTTGTGATGAACTAGGCAGAAGACAGGATACTCAGTATGGAAGCATTATTGTATCTTCAGGTGAAAAATGCAAAAGCGAGGATACATTGGTGACCTCAAGAAGGAAGATCTAGGGCGTCGGCGAACAAAACCTTGAGAAGCTTACCCCCAACTTGAGTGGAATTAACCTCTAAATTGCAAACTCATATCTGCACTTTCAACAACAATCGCTCCAATCGAGATATACTTGTCACAATACTTCTGGAACGGAAGTAGTAAAAATGCTGATGAAAATCTAAAGCTATACACAGGCAGGAAGACGTAAACAAATTCTGAGCAGACAAGAAATTCTTCCTGATCATGGACGTTGCATCCTCCAACATAAATTGCAATCATGTCAACCAAGGTTACCTTCATTCAAACAGTCAACTACTGCATTTTTCAACTGAAGCATCTGTTCCCTTGCCAACTGCAGAGACAATGTATTGCACAAGTCATCCCAGATGGAAAAAAATATTTCATGAATACATAATCAACGTATAACAATCTTTATCAGAAACGATTTTTTATTAATTTGTACAGTAAGATAGACCGATACCCCAAACTGAACCTGTCCCATGCAAATATCAAAAGTATATATTTGCATCCATGTTTCGTCGACTGGCCTTCATTTTCAGAAAATTTGGGGTCAAAGAATAAAAATTTCAAGTGGGAAAAGGGGTAACTCCTGAAAACCATTGGATGGCTGCTGCCATCCACCTTCTTTGGTTCTACAATTGTTGGATAGCATGACTCGAAACTTTTAACATGATCACAGCAAATTTTGACATGCCAAATTTGTCCAGTTGTTATTGCTTCATTCAAATCTGATGCAAATATCATATACACTGGATGTACAATTTATGGTATTTGTATTTTGGGCCTTCTATGATCATTTTGATTCAAATTGGTGTTGATGACTGCATGTAAGAGTATGGTCTTGGGACTCCAGTGTGATGGTCCTTTGTGGCCGCTGTACATGGATGGAAAAGATGGCAAAAGAACAGGGGAAAAAAAAAAGAGAGCGAGAATACATGCTAAAATTTCCAGGTGATGTATGAGGCAAGCATCAAGTTGTCTTTACCATGTCACGTAAGTAGAGTTGGAGAGTATTTAATAGCTAAAGTTATGTGGTATTATTAACAAATACATAAACATTAATGGCACAATTAGAAATCAAGATAGTGCAAGCGGAGAGCAATAACCATGTTCATAACTCAACCATATCACACAACAATATTGTCACATAACAATGCGTTTGGGAAGAGAAGCAAGCAGCAAGTTTGAAAGCCAAGTGTTCTCGAAACTTCAAGCTGAAGATACTTACATTATGGACCTTCATTATTCTCCTCCCAGCATCAGTCAGATGAGTCTCAATTTCTTCTTCAGCTTGCAAAAGAAGCTTTCTATGAGATGCACCTGAAATTATTAAAGACCAGTAAAAAGCTTGAAGCCTGTTAAAGCTTAAATTTGTTTGGCTACCAGCTTACAGTTAGAATGTTAATCATAAAAGCAATAGGAAACATTCGGAAACTGTTTAGGTTCCGTTTATCTGATTTTAGCTTTCCAAATATTGTAGTGTCCATATTTTGACCTTGAAAATTGCTCTAGTTAGATTCTGCAAATGACTTCAATAAACTCTTCGATTATGAACGTTAAAAGATCAACAACCTGATACTATAGAGGGAAAAATGAGGACATTCTTTGCAACGAGAAAATTTTGATTGGCAGTTCAAATCTGCATTATGCATATAGAAACCACATTCTCAGCTATGCAAAATTACTTTTAAGAAAAAATATAAGTCGTACTTTGTTTTTCACTATCCCTCTAAGCTCCATGTGGTTTGCATCCAGACACTCAACTGTGTCTCTGCAATCTTGAAGATGCTGATGAACCTCTTCCTTGAACTTCGCATATATGACATTCAACTGTCCTTGTAGTTCTGCATCAGTAGTCATTCAATCTTCAAGAACACATAATGGAAGATAAAGTGTACATAAAGTATCTCAGTTCTAAGTCCTACAGATAAATCCTAGTGACATCAAACAATCATGACTTGCACAAACAGCAATTGAATTTTGCACAATTCATAAGATCCTGTCTGTAAAATACTACAAGGATGAATAAGTTCTCATGATATACTCCGCAATCAACTTCAAAATTACAAGCATTATCTGAAGACAAAGAAGGCAGAAATTCTTGGAAGGGGAGGGGAAGAAAAGTAACAAGTCGTTCCCTTGTATATCTTCCTGCTGCATAAAATTGCTCAAAAGTTATTTTGAGTCTTTGACAACAAGCAAAATAACTAAGAAACATGATTCAAATAAAAAAAAAAATTTCACAACACATATGTGACATTAATGTTTCAAAAGGAGTACCCGAAGAAGAAGTCTATGAAATATGATGTATAGGTCAAAAAGTGATATGATTTATAAAGAAGAAATACCAAGAAACCCTTCTCAATGGTGGAGTTGTTCTCTACCAAGATATAGTGTCAGGCAAACTAGTTAATTACTCCAGATGACTATCTCCCAAAAACAACTTTATATGATCGCATTATCATAAAAGAGCAAGACTTGCTATTGATAAAAAGCACCGGCACAACAACATTTGGGTCCTAATGAGGATGATATTATGCATAATATTCGACAAGACGGAGTCAAGTTGCTTCAACTTTCACATGGATTTAAATGTTATCATATGCTGGTCAACAAGTGAGCAGTGGAACACATATTATTCAAGAATTATCAGTTCCTACTTTTAAAAAATGGTTACCTTGAAATCTCATCTCCAGATGTTTTCTCTTTGATTTAGTGAGACTAGTCAGTTTTCCCCTGAAAAAAGTCAATAATTCTGCATAAGAGATGAAATTCTTGAGCCAGTGATCAGTCATTGCATAAGTACCTACATATCAGCTTGAATCTGAGATTCAGCGGTCTGCAATTGCATATGTATTCCTTCAGCAACAGAGGTTAGAATTTCAGCAGATCTTTTCCTGATCACCGACTTCATTCTGATTTTAACTCTTTCTAAAGCCAAGGCAAATAGAGTAACAGCACTGAAATTTTAAACAAAAAAATCAATCAATTTAAGCAGGAAAAATAATTGCCAGGGCTGTACTGGTATATAGCTTTCTGTTATATTTCAATACAATGACCAAAAGAATACCTAGCAAGTCCATCCCCTTGATGCAACTCCAAATGTTGCTGAACATTTCCATAGTCTTCAATGCTAGACAGACAGAAGATGGAATTAAAGAATCTTACAAAAAGTCAGGCGTTTTCTTTTGCAAAAATGAGAAAGAAGATTAACCCAGCAACAGAAGCTGAGATTTTAATCTGTAAGCAGATATGCCTTTTCGAGAGAATGAGGTGGGAGAAAATCCAGAAACTTCAATGGTTTCCTGATACTGATGCTTTTTGTTCAGATGAAGCACAAAATCCGGTTTCTTTACAGTACCAACTTCTGGAAAAAGTTCTGATTCACCCGGACCTGCAAGTTTATCATAAATGCTTAATAATAGCCAGGGTCCCCCACCGCATATACAGAGTTCTTAGGGCATGATACCAAGTTATCGATGGTCAAAAATTAAATGTCAAGCAAAGAATGCCTTTGTAAGTTCCAGATACTTAGAACATAACACTCTCATAACCCAAGGTTTTTTTATTCCCATAAAAGAAATAAAAAAGCCGAGTCCCAGGGCGCTTAACTAAAAGTGAAAATATAAACACTATAAAAACAAGAAAAATCTAAAAACTGGACAGTTCGAAAGTAACCAAACAAGAAGAAGAAATCACCTCTAATAAATGAAGAGAAATCACCTCTAATAAATGAAGCAAAATCATTAGTTGCATTGTGCAGAATTGTTCATTATCGTGTAAACAGCATTAAATTAACCCTTAATTAGATATGAATGACCATAATTCATCACAATCACCCAACTGGTCATTCAAGAGTTGGTTAATCAAACAAATACATCACTTAAACCAACAAAAAAGTTGTTTCCACAACCAATTAAAGTTAAACTACGAAAGTAGATCGCAGTAGATAGGCTTTGCAGTAAAGCAACCTTTGCGTCCAGTGAAAAAAGTGAGTAATTATAGGAATGCACTAGTCTGGTTCCTACAGGTAAATCTTAAGAACCTTTAAGCGTATTTCTTCTTCTCGAGTGAAGTAGCTTACTCTTGCTCTGTGCGCTGGGAGGGAATCCTCTTTCAAGGTCTCTGAATCACTGCCCTCCGATGACGAGCTAGACAGCCTACTTCCTGGGTCTTCCACAATAGGCCTGGGTTTCATGTAGGAAAAATCTTCTAATCCTCCTGGGCCATCCTTTGTTCGCTTAAGGAATAGCAGCCATAAAGCATCTCATAAAAGAATCAGCTGCAGTATGGTAGACATAATCATAGCCAAACATAATGGAGGATACAGAAGAATTTGACTTGGAATTTGACTTGTCACAAGTTAACTTTGAGGCCAAAAAGCTCTTGAAGCGTCGAATTCCCTCCGTATTCGACACAAGCTTTGGAGGACTGTCATCATCTGCTTCCCCCAGTTTGGTTTCTGGTGGGGAGCCAGGAGTGGATCTTGTGGCATGTATTCTCATCTCACTTGGTGGCAAATCGGGAAATATTTCTCTGGGTGTCTTCTCTCCAAATGCGGACAGGGGATGTCAAACTTTTGCTCTGATGTACTTTTGAGCAATGCATAACCAACATCTTGCTGCAAATCCACATCTTTTTGTAATTTTGGACCGTCAATGTCATTCCTCGGGTGCTCAGACACCCCTTCAACATGAACCTTCTGAGAACTTATCTCAAGGGAAACTTTCTTTGGCTCAGTAGAATCTTTTTTAATCCTCTTAATGTTTCATTCTTATCTCCTACTTCATCTCCGTGCATCATTGAATTCTGAAGTGCAGGTCTTCTTTCGCCCCTATTGTTAACCTTCTCGTCATGTCCTGGATTTTCATGTTCATTGAAGCGCATCATGCTTGACTTGATTCCAGTGCTCCACTTTTCACTCTTCTTTCTCATGACTGCTAACGTACCTCCAGTGGCACTGTAATGTTGTCTTCTGGAGAGCACCTCTTCAAAGCAGGCATACTTTTCTTGGTTGTCCTTCATATAACGAGTCAACTGTGCATCATTTGACTTGGCTGCTTTTAATTTATTGGAAGCTCCATTCCTGATCAAAGAGCGTTTCCTCGGTCTCCTAACAGGACGACCATGACCCTCAGAATCACTTTCTATTGTGTCCGAATTTTGTGTAGGCTTCACAACAGGCTTACACTCTGCATCACTCTTTTGCACTAATTTCATGTTTTTGGCCTCCATCCCAAGGTCACAATCATTGGGATGTTGTTCATTTGGGGATGAAATGGTTCCTAGGATCTCCCAGAGCTTCATTCTTAAAGTTTCACTGCCCCTTGTTTCTTCCTTTGTAGCTTCATGCCCTCCCACATCCTTTTCTGTTGCAACTTTCTGTATGGTGGTAAAAGAGAGTTTCTCAAAGCCTTCTCCAGTTATGTCCCTCATTCCAGGCATGTCCCCATCGAACTTCCTCTGTGAACCGTTACTAGATTCCAGACCTGACATGTGATTATCAAAATAGTGCGCAGAAAAATTTGCTGGTGGTGGCCTTGGTAGATGGAGTACATGGTGTGTTTCAGTGACAGGCCCGGTGGCTGGCAAAATGCAAGTGACTTCTGCACCACGAACTTGCTCTGGTGTTGGTAACTTTTGGTTGAAAGATTTAGGAGATAACCAAGGGGAAGTCTCCTGGACTAGCTCCTCTGTTTGTTTCCCTTGATTAGCAGCATAAAGAACTCTGTCCGTCCATTTTCCATCTTGAGCAGAATTTGCTTTGCTAGGAGTAACATTTTCATACTAGAACAGGGAGTCCTTGGCATTGACATCTTTGGGTCCAGAATTCTGGCAAAAGGAATCCGCCAGGATTCCTATGGAAATTTTCCGGGGTTGGCCAGACAGGCTGTGAAAACTTCTGGATTCCCTTGCTTGGCCCTGGTATTCATCAGAAGAATAAGAACTGGGTCTTACGAAATCAGAAGATATTAGTAAAAATTTTAAGACGGAGAAAGGAAAAGAGACTTTTGAATAAACAAAGAAAAAGAGCGCAGCAAGACTACGAGGGGACACTACTACAGAGTAGCGTGCGTTGAGTTATGAACAAAAATATGATTGATGTAGCAAAGCAAATGCTGTTTATCAAGTAAGGAGAAGGCGTGAATACTTACATCAGAGAAATTAGGCTGTTGGCTTAAATCCATCGTCAAAAGACTTTCAGAGGACAAATAGGGTCGGCACACCTAACAGAAAACAAGTCATTATATTATTACATGATCTACAAATCCTATGGAACAGCAAGCTTTTGAAGAAGGACGAGTAAACAGAGTAGATTGTAAGACTTGAGGATAGACGAAACAGATATGAAACCGATGGCTCAAAACCTAAAAAAACCTCGATAAGTGGGACTCAACCGACGAAGCAGCGATCCTATTTTCATTATCTATAGACACGCCAGAAGAAGCAGTAATTTGAACACTTGAACTTCAAAAGTATCTCCAAACGTAAGAAGGAATGAAATCAAAGGTTCGTCTGGAGCATTTCCACTAGATCTCAAGTACGAAAAAAGCACTGAAGCTGCTTACCTAGACCAATTCGAACTCGTGAAATAGGAATGGCGGCAACTCATTCTAGTTCAATAATGAAATAGATCATAGCAGTGGCAAACAAGAGACGGGGTAAGAAAGAGAGCAGAAATTGGTAGCGTCGTTATAACTTACGGAGCGAGAGAAAGGGAGTGAGTTACTAGCGCTGTCGTCGAGGATGAGAGTAGTTGTAGTTCCGACCGGAAATTCAGAACAACAAGTCGGGCTCCGTAACGATACTGCTAGGGTTTTTTTTTTTTTTTTTGTGATCGATGCAGAGTTTATTATGCAACTTCGTCGCCTATACTATCAAAATGTGGCTGCATTTTCCGGTCTGCGTGTGCGGCGAATTGCGGTGATGCTAACACACTACTACTACTAGTAGTATGATAATATATGTAGCTATCCCTCCTTGGGACCTGGTAGCAACTCTGTAGTATTTTGAGAAAGGTTTTTTAATTTAAGTAGCGCGAGCAGGAGAGGAAAGCAGTAATCAGGCGGGAAAATATCGGGCCGAGCCGGGTCGGGCGTCCGTGTCAAATTCAAAGTGCAGAGGCGTGATACTCCCTCACCCCGCGCAAAACTCAGAGCAGTTGAAGGCGTAACACATCATACACTGGACGACCTAAATCATGTACATACATCATATCACGCCTTCCTACTATTGCTGCCACTTGGAGTCCGTGCCATAGCTGAGAAAAGGCATTTCTTCCGCTTTAGGAAAAATTGCCGCTGCGACGTGAATCACCCATGTCTCTTTTGCAAAGAGCAGTTACACCATATCTCCTTGGGTTCACTGTTTTTTGGTATTTTTAAAAATTTTTACTATTGCAGTGTATATAAAAAATTTTACTACAAAAAGTTTTTCAAATATTTGATATATTATATGGATGAGATTTTTTTGAATTATTGTATATTGCTATAGCATTGTCTTTGAAAAACTTATTTTTAAATCTCAGTTTAGATTAACTATTTTTTTGGTGTTTTAGAGTACTTTTTAAAATATTTTTTAACAAATTTTATAGCATTTAAAAAACCAATTTTTGAAAAAATCAAGAATCCAAACAGATAAAATTAAAAATTTTATTGAAGTCTTTTTTAAAATTTTGTAAAAATTGTCCTAGCATCTACCCCACCTCCCTCCTCTCTCCAACATCCTTGTCAACCTCCATGTTCCTTTCCTTTTTTTCTTCATCTCCCTCCTTCCCTCCTTCTTCCTTTTCTTGCATTCTTTTTGCCTTTTAGAGTTTTTTGAAATATATTATAAAAAATGATTAAAAAATATTTTATGAACAATATAAAAAAAATTTAGAGAAGAGTTGTAATCCAAACAAGGCTTAATATACCAAAATGAATCAAACGTTTATTATTTCATTTTTTAGGAAGAAATAGTATTAAATCATGTTCCACAAGATTTAATATTATTATGAGTGTGTTTGGATAATAATTTATTTAAAACAAGGTTGGTACGAGATTTTAAAAATTCAACGCTCTATATTTAAATTTTGGAATAATTTTAAAAACCTTTCTCGAGATTTCTGACAATTTCACCTAATACCTTTGAGATTTTTAATATTACACTTATCTCCCTTAATCTTATAAATGACCATAATATTCTTAACATATTAATATTTTTTATGCAATTAAACAAGCTGCTATTAATCTTGTGTAAATGAATGCATCACACAACTAGATGTTTGTTGGAAACAAAAATATGATTTACTCGTAGAATAACTAATTATGTCATGAATACAATTTTAACATATTACAAATTAATTTTTGTTTTGCTTGGAGGATTTGGAAATTAATAGAAGAACATGTAATCTAAAGGTTTAAAAAATAGCTAAACTGGTGTTGGCATCATAACATTTGAGGGATAGAACGTTATATTAAGGCAATTGTTGACTTTCTTTTTAACCTTTTGATTTTTTTTTTCTTTTTAACTTAAATTGAGGTTTTAGAATTTGGGCACTGATAATGGTGATAGTTATGATGATAATGGTACTACTAATATGAGATGTAGGAATATAAAAGGTTTAAAATAGTAGAAATGATGGTTGAAAGCAAATTTGAGATTTTGTGCATGTTCCATATTTTTAAAAAATTATATAAGAAGGCAAAATGAACTTTACAATTTCATAAGAATATTTTGGATTATTCATTCAAAAATTTGACCATTGAATAGTTTTTGTTACCAAAACGATAAACTCAAGGGAGGTATGTGTAACTTTTCAAATCTTAAGAAAATTGGGTGAAATGTTAAAAATCTCGAGTGAAGTTTAAAAAGTATCCCTTAAATTCTTTCTAACCTTTTGTCACTTTTTAAATTCCTTCCTTTTGAAGAGTGTTCCTCGGCATCCATTAGCCAAACTCACAATAAAAATCATGAAATATTATCGCTTTGTTTGGGTTAACCATTTTTTTTTTGTGTTTTTTAAAAAATTTACTGTAGCAGTATATATACAAATTTTTTACTATAAATATTTTTTAAAATATTTAATATATTGTATGAATGAGATTTTTTTGAGTTATTTTTATTTGTGTACTACTTTAGCATTATATTTGAAATACTTGTTTTTTGGAAAAATAGAAAATTCAAACGGATAAATTATCATTTGAAATGATTAACATAGTATTTATGTGATACATGCGAAGAAGATAGCATCATAAAACAGTTTTAGAAAACGTACGTGAGGTGTCTATAATAAGAAACTCAAAAAATAACTTAAAAAACACACACTCAAAAAATTTGAATATGTTTGGATAATATATTATTGGGATAATTTTGTAAAAAAAAAAAACTTTAGTACTTGCTTAATGTGATAAACGTGAAAATAAGAAGATGGTTAAAAAAATATGTCAACGTTGCGATCAAATAAAAATTGGCAAATAAAACACTATTCAAACAAGCCAAACCCAAACTTTTATTCTTTTCTTTTCTTCAATCTACCGTGCCGTAACTCCCAAGCTGGGTAAGATTAACACACAAACGGGAGCAGCGAAGAGGATAAGGGAGATAGCCGAAACCGACGGAGTGTACTCCTTCCGGGAAGGACAAGTTGAAGATCTCCTCTCCTTGAGGAGCGTTTTGTCTTCTCTCTATCTCTTCCTCTATTTTTTTTTTTTTTTGTTTTTCTAAAATTTCTTTGAACGCGGGAATCTAATCCCAATTCTAGGATTGGGATTTCGGGTTTTGGGGTTTGAAATTGATATTGAAATGGCAATAACCATCACTTCCTTGGGCTACTATTGTTGCCATTGCCACCACACTATCAACACAAACCCCCCAAAGTTGGCCTCCTCCAGGCGTCATACACTCAGTTGGAGGAGCTTCCGATGTTCCTACTCCACCACAGTCACCCCGTATTCCAACGCTCCCATCGACGGCAGCTCCACATCCCGCTTGGACTGTGTCATCGTTGGAGCCGGTATAACCGGCCTCACCATCGCCCAGGCCCTGTCTGGTAACAATGTGCTCGTGACGGAGGCCAGAGAACGAGTGGGCGGCAACATTACCACGGTGGAGAGGGACGGATATCTATGGGAAGAGGGTCCCAACAGTTTCCAGCCCTCCGACCCAATGCTGACCCTGGTCGTGGATAGCGGCCTCAAGGATGATTTGGTACTGGGAGATCCCAAAGCCCCTCGTTTCGTTTTCTGGGAGGGCAAGCTCAGAGCTGTCCCCTCAAGCCCCACCGACCTTCCTTTCTTCGACTTGATGTCGTTCCCCGCCAAACTCAGGGCCGCTTTTGGTGCCTTAGGTTTTCGTCCTTCACCTCCAGTGCGTCCTCTTTAGTCTCTGTTCTTTTGCCAAAGAAAATGATAGTCTTGTGATCTTGCCTAGTTGTCATGCATTTCTTATTGGAAATTTGGTACTACTAGTACATTGTCATGCATGGCCGAAGGGAAAAAAAATGCGCTACTGAGGTAAATTGTTTTTTTTTTAAAAATAAAAAAAAAGAACCCTTTGTTTTGTTAAAAGAAGCACAAACAGTTAAGCGATGCCAATGCTGGAATAACCACATATTATTCGTACAATTTGTTCTGGCTATGGCTCAATTAATTGTTACACGTCTCCATAACGTGTGTATTTGCTTCTAAATTCTTCACCCTAGTTGCCTAATGGAGGGGTTAAGTGTAAGAAAAATTAAATCACAGTGATAGTGTTCCCAACTTTGTGGTTACTCTGCTCATATCATATACTTTGACGAAGGTGACAGGCTCATGAGGAGTCGGTTGAACAGTTTGTGCGTCGTAATCTTGGCAACGAGGTCTTTGAACGCTTGATTGAGCCTTTCTGCTCTGGTATCTTCTAGTACTTAACTTCCCCTAACTCTCAAAAAGTATCTGTCAAGTTATTATATCAGCCTTACTTTTTCTGTTGCTGTGCCTGCTACATAAATTTCTGCTCTGCTGACAAAACCATGAATTTGAACATTCTCCTGTGATTCTCTGTTGCTTTAGTTTGTGGCGGCTTTCTCTTATTAGCCAAGTACATCTATGCCCAAGTTCCTTTACTTCATTCCTAAACATGTACATCAGTTATGGATGTTTTTGTGAGTACAGTATATGTAGGGTGCTGTCTCAGCTGTTTTAAGTTGCTCTAAAAGCACTAATTGTTGCTTATGCCAAAAGTGCTTTAATGGCTAAAAACTTTACTCCTGAATTCAAGGAATGATGCTCATCAAACACGTAAAAATGCTTTTATCCTCCAAAATGCTTTTTTTAACAAAAGCATTCCAACCCCAACCGGGGCCTTACACAGGTGTTTATGCTGGTGATCCATCAAAGTTGAGTATGAAAGCTGCCTTTGGAAAAGTTTGGAAGTTGGAGCAAAATGGCGGCAGCATCATTGGTGGAACCATTAAAGCACTAAAAGATAGATCTAGTAGCGCCAAAGTTCCTCGAGATCCGTAACAATTTATTTCATCTTTCGTCCTTTTTGTTGTTCTTTTCACTGTTTTAATCCATACTCGTACAGTTCACTAACTCTTGGCACTTCTCAGGCGTTTGCCAAAGCCAAAAGGTCAAACAGTCGGATCATTTAAGAAGGGACTGGCCATGTTACCTGATGCGATCTCTTCAAGGTAGTCTTTGCAACATTATGATGATTTATGAGTATTTCATATGGCTTGAGATGCCTTTTAACTTCTTGTTTCCTTCTTTTGTATCTATGGTCAAGGTAGTCTTTACAGACTTAAAGTAATTTATCAGTGCT